TTCTTATGCAGCTTGTATGCATGCAAGCTCCCACTGAATTCAGGATTAAAAGCTGTGTTGTGTCCTTAAGATTTGGCTCACTGTTTTTTGTGTTTAAGATTTGCTGTGAGATGTACGTCTCATGTTCTTGAGGAAAAGCAGAGAACTCACAAATAATATGAGACAAATGAAACAATTTTAAGATACATTTTTATTGAAAAATTTAAATTGCATTGCATATCATTTTTATAATTTCACAGTTCTTTTAGCCACGAAACACAGAGATTCTATTTAAAAAATCTCTTTTTATTCGTCACCATTCAAAAAACATGTTGTGCCCTGAATAAATGATGATTTTAAAATTCTGGGCTATTCTTGAGCACACTGGTTCTGTGTGTCTGCCATGAATGGTAGAATCTTGCTGTGTTCTCCAAAAACAGTTCTAACAACTGAAACTGGGACTTTTCCTACTTAAAATCAACAGCTGCTTTGGTTATCCTTTTCCAAATCTAATACATCAGCTAGTAAACACCGAAGCAACAATTTCCAGTTTGGCATCTTCTCTCTATTTGGCATTTGTCAAGGTACTTTGAATTCACCCACCTTAATAGTATAGTGCTTGTCAGTAAGATTTTAAAGAAGAAATCACAACCTCAGAGTAAATTACCAACTCGTTACATCAGGAAAATTGAGTTACTCATCTATAATTGTATTTCTTGGAATGAGTCATCTCGTCCATGGCTTCACACTTTCTGGTCTTCCCCACACATTGCTGTGTGGATTTAAGAACAGGAGAGTTCCAGAGAGGTCTTTATTTGAGAAGCCGTAGAATATTACTCAGATGAAGATTGACTACTGGAAGGGAAATAGAGAGAATTTGTCTCATTGATGACCATGGCCATTCCCTAAATAAGGCTCTGTTAAATCAGCTATCTGAGTTGAGGTAAACCAGGACACTGTGCTGGTGGCGATGGGCATTGGGCAGTCATTACTGCTAAATATCCTAATGGCCGACATCAATCACAAGGAGACACCAAAAACTGGTTGTGAGCATCATTTGCCACAAAACTAAGATACAGTGGTACCAGAAAGAAAAAATCCCATCTTCAGGTATGAAGATAAATTTAATTCTCATGGCTGCGAGAACCACCTCAAAGATAAACTTCATGACTCTGTGATAGGCAGCAGGATCTACATTATTAAATGTCACTTCTAGATGCATACTATCATGGGCAGTAACCAGAGCAGTCTGGTAGTTCTGATCTGGCAAAAGAAGAAACTGTGCCAAATGGAAGAGAAGCAATTTGTAGTAATCAAATTACAGTTTACACACTACTCAGGAGAACGAGATTCTGTTCCCAGCCAGTACCATTCAGGACTTGCTGCATGATCTTTGTCCTTTTCCAGTCTGCAAAATGGGGATCCTATTACTTAGCTTCCACATATGTTTCTAAAGTGTATAGAGTTCTTCAAATATTATTGTTATAAGGTGGTGATAATCTGGACACTAGGGCCAGAAAGTTAAGATTTTAAAGTTAGAGCATAAAGTATGAAGACTGCATCTTACCTCTCCAGTGGTACTGTCACTGAGATTCCCTGAGTGAGGGAATGAAGTGGGTCATAAACTCTAAGCTAAAAATTGGTCAAAGAAACCACAAGAGGCTGCTGCTGCTGTGTGTGGAAGAAGTAGACTCCCCTTTCAAGGCTGGTCAGATGTCTTGGCAATGACTATCATAGGCCATAATGTTTTTCATACACTGTGAAGAGTAAAGAGATGCTGCATTCTTCTGTAGCAGGTCTTTGAATAAAGTGAACTATTCAGAGGGGAAAAATCTCATCCATAAGCTTATGCTTCAAAAATGAATCCAGCCTTTTACTTTCTAAGAGAAGAATTTGTTTCTGAACACCTGAGAACAGGCTTGTGAGTAGGAGAACTCTAACCTTTAATGAGAAATGACCTGCATCTAGAGAGAATGGCATTTGATTTTAAAAGATTGAAGCCAGAACCAACACTGATGCTGACAATATCCATGGTAGCAGGATTCAGACCTTATATCATTGACTTTTATACCAAAGGTGCTAGCATCAAAGAAGGGAAGATGTCAGGAATATTTATTCTGGAAGATCAAAATTCAAGACTGTAGAAGCATGGCCCACTGCAACTATCTGCACCAGCTGCGTGAAGTAAAAACATTGCCCTAAGGAGATGGGACTACTAGAAGGACAACTGTGCTAGTGGGATTACTGGGTGGCTTCATAGTCATAAGATTTTGAGGTGGATAATATGGATCATCTTCTGTATGTTATAGTTAGGAGGCAAAAAGAGAGCCACAGAAGTAAAACAAGCCCTGAACTTGACTCCAATGAGCAATAAGGTCATAACAAAATGGAGTTCAAGAAGAAGATTCTACAGAGTGTAAGGGAGGAGAGAGGTATACTGGGTCTCTAGGAAAAGAAAGAGAAAACAGTGCTTGGGAATGGCTAGCCACCCAAAACTCATCTCCTTAAATTTTGGAAGAGTCCTGGTGACAAAAATAAGCATGGAGTGCTTATACATCAGAATTAGAACGTCTGGACCTGGAAGTTAGATTGGGCCCACCAATGTTAGACTCTTGAAATGGGTTGCTCAATTTTTCCATTCACAGAATGTCAAAATGCCCCAGGCTTTTCTGGCTATATGAGACAGATTAGACATGGTATTTTGAATATCCAATTGGTATTTACTCTAAAGACCACAGGTGAGGCACAGCATAGAATTTGCGGCCCAAGGGGACCATGGTCACCTTTGTGCCTTCCCAATCCTGGGCTGCTCCAGGGGCTGTAAAGACCTAGGGGGAATGTGTAAGTTATGGCTGACTCCGTGGATTGTCCTATGAGCTGCAGTGATGTCTGGAATTTCCTTAGTGCTGTGATGTGGCCCTGCCCCTGACACACTCCTCCCTTCTCCAGCCCTGCCTCCAGCATGCCTACTAAGCCAACCTTACATATGTCTTCTGCATTGCCTGTACTAAGGGAATCCTCTTCTGGCTACAGCCAAGGCTTTTAGGGCCCCTTCATGCTACTGCAGCCTGTTCACATGGCATAAAGTGGGGTGGCGAGGTGGTGAGTGTCTAAGCCCCTTTAAATAAATGAAAGAACAACACAAAGTGTGAGGATCTTTTTGGACAGAGTATTGCTGTAGTTTTAAATCAAAATGTGTCTCTTTACAATCTTTTAATAGAATATTTCTAATGTAATTAAATTTTATTTCAGAGCTGAAAGAAAAGTAGCTTATTACAGACTTGCCTGTACAATAGCCATAGCAGCATATTTTGAAAAGATTTTGAATCAGCAGGTTTCAGTTATCATGACAATAGTCATTCTGTAGACAGAGGACTATTGAGCCTTTATTTGATTCCACTACTTTGCTGGTCTGCCAGTACAAAATCATGTACTTTGTAGAACTGGTTACCTAGTTAATTAAAAACTGAATGGGCTGCAGATGACTCTTGTGTCTATATTTTGAAATGTCTGATCAGTTAAAACTATGGTGACAAGCCAGCTGAATTTAAACATTCTGTGGTGAGTTTTTCTTTTCCTCTGTAAACTCCAAAATACATAGTGAATTCCCCTTCTACAAAACATTAATAAACCTGGTTAACAATCTCACAGATTTGGTACAGATTTTCTTCAGGAATCTTGCCCCAGAATTTAGCTAAACTAGTCACAGAGATTGGTCCTGAACTACAACAGAAGTACAGGGGCCTTGGTTATTATCCAATATTCACTAGAAAAGCATTCAGAACACCAGACGTACAGGCAGACATTACAATTAATAAAGGTGAAGAGTCTATTAAAGTAAAGGGATTTAATTATACTAGAGTCTATATACAATGTTAGAATTCCTAATGATCAGTAAAATTAACTGTAAGTTGTTATTTTAAGGGCACTATTATATAAATGAAAGTGTCAACTAATATTTTTATCGTCTCTTTGGCTCACAAATGCACTAAAATACCATAAACATCATTTAGAACTTCAATAATATATAAATAGGATACATTACAAATGGAAGAAAATACAAGACAACTCTTTAGCATGGTAAATCTCTGCATATAAATAAGCAAATATTTCATATACCTAGAATTGAACAGTTATCTTGCTGTAAAACTATTACATTTAATTCCTTTTCACAAAGTCATTTAACAATAATATACACAATCTACACAAATTAATCTCTAAAAATACAGCAATAATATACCTGTTACAATGACTCTGCTACTATTATCCCCTGATATGACACTAAAGGGGAGATACAACTATCTTACTGGGGGGTGCTTTTAGGATCCATTGTTATTATATGTGAGAGAAGCATCAACAATAAGGTTTAATACTGTTAAACATTTTCCTTAGCTCCTAAGAAGCTACATTTTTTTAAATGTTTCTTTACAGCTATTTGCATCTGTTAGACTGATCTGCTGCACATTGTCCACATCATTAACTGTTGAAAGAAAAGTTAGTTCTCTTAAAGTGGAAAACATGCTGTGGCTTAGTTCTAAATTCATTACCATTTTTATATATATATATATATATATATACATATTGTGCAGAGTTCTTAATTCTCTATTTTAATACTTATTAGTTTCCTGCTGACTATAATAAACAGACTAAAATAAGGATCAATAGTACATGTCAAGATAATATATTTTCTTTCAGTAAAATGACCTACCAATACATATATGTTTCAGTAACCCATGGGTGCTGGAACTAGGGGTACTGGGGTGTGTGTGAGCTACTGCACCCCCTGGCTTGAAGTGGTTTCCATCATATACTGGGTTTACAGTTTGGTTTAATGGCTCTCAGCACCCCCAGTATACAAATTGTTCCAGCACCTCTGCAGTAACCTACAGATTTTTGTGTGTCTTAGGAGAGCGGAACATTTAGAAAGGGAATTTCCTTAAAGGGTGTTCTGCAGAACTGGGTAAAAAATAGCCAGTGCTGGAAAACAGTGGACTAGAGGAATAAATAGTTTGCCAAGAGTATTACAGATCCTGCCCCAATCTTTCTATTTCTTCAATGAGGAAGTCAATGTCAGACTTAGTTGCCGCCGGGTTTGAGACAACCATTCGGAAGAAGTTGACTTTATCTGCCTGTGGCTGATATCCAACCATTGTGGTACCTGACTCCATCATCAGAGCTTTGATTTTCGGTGCCACCTTTATAATTAAAACAAAACAGGAAAGAAATTTAGAACTTTTTTCCTTTCTTACTAGTCACCACATTTCTTAATTTAGAAAAGAGAGCAATTACACCAGTGATAGATGTTTACATAATACTGTAGGAAAAAAATGCTTGATTACACATATAGATATATGTGTGGAAGAATTTAAACATCTAATATATAAAATAGTGATATGTAAATTAGAAGTTTTTTATTCTTCCATACTTAATAATCTAAGATGTTATGATTAACAACGATGTCAACTTAAAAACCATAGCTTAAGCAAACAGTATTCCTTATTAAGCTACTAATAACATCTTAGAGTACTGGAAGAATTTACAAATCTAAATTTACATGTCACTATTTATTCTTCTGATTAATTATTGGAATTCTTATAGTTTGGACAATGAAAAGTAACAAAGCCAATTTCACTCTGGTTTATAGTCTCATTTTCAACTTCTTAATGCTTCAGTATTTGGATGACAAACACTGAAAGTGCATTGTTAACTGTTAAAATAGGTCAGGAAAAGAATTCATTGGAAAATTTTAACAAACATGACTTTTTTTTGTCTTTGTAGGAATTTTCAGTGGAAAATTTAGATTTTGTATCAAAAAACAAGGAAAGGAGACACTTTCCATTAAAATCTTTGTTTACTCAGAAAGCCTTTCTGTCAAAAATTTTGATGGAAAATTTTCAACCAGCCCTATTGTATAAAGAAAACTTTCTACTGGTATTTTTTTTTTAATCATGAAAACATTTGGATTGGTTTTACAGCACCATGAAGTTATTACAATTATCTTCTTTATTTTCACTTTCAAAGAAAAAATTCCATCAAAGTCTTAACAGTTGCATGATATCTGTCAATAAAGAGCAGAGCACCTTGCCTTTCCTTGCCTAATTATGGGTCAGATTCTTCCACCCTTACTCATCTTGAGTAGTACTCCATGTGACTAAGGGTGACACAATTTAGTCTTGTGAAATCGAGGGTCTATCTGAGAAGACTCGGTAGAGTACACAGGCAAGGTAAAATGATGATTCCCAGAACTACTTCACCCCTGACCTAGCCCCTGCCATTCAGTGTCTATCTCTGGGTGCCATATGACACTTTTTCCTTGATGTCTCACAATGTCCCATCATCAGCTCACTCTTAACATGGTCAAATCAAACACTTCATCTTTCTTCACAGACTTTTCCCTCTCCCTCTCTTTTCTATCACTGTTGGCAATTCCATTAGTCATCTTGTCCCATAGAGTCACACAAGTAATTTTAATTCCTTCCTGTCCTTCTTTCCCCACAATGATGCTGCCACAAAATCCTGCTGGTTCTTCCTCTACAATATCGCCAATCTGCCCTCTCCTTTCTATTCCCACCACACAAATCTCTTTGTCAGGGCCTGATCATCTCATCTTGACAACTGTAATCTCTTTTTGTCTCTTGTATTCTAAACCTCACCCCAATCCTAACTATCCAAAATGCTGCCACAAAACAGTGTACTTTAGAAGAACTGGATATGTTCCATGTCTGATTTCAAAGGAGAAATATAACTTCAGCCCCAATAAGAACAGGAGAGGAAGTGTCAAGGTCCAGAGGCCAGTCATAACGTGGAACTCTGAGGTAGAGCTGGTCTGCAATTTTCCAGTGGAATAGGTTTAGAAAATGCTGATTTGTTGTACCCAAAGTGTTTCATAGCAATGTATGGGGTTCAACAAACTGACTAACCACCTGCCTGGGTTCCTGCCCGCTCAGCTGGTGTCCAGCTGAGGAGCACAGGCTTCCATGGTTCACGGCTCAGAGGAGTCCCACCATGGAGACTGCTCCTGGATCCCAGAGATTCCAGGCTTCTGGGCCCGATGGCTCTCTGAGCTGTTGACTCCCCAGGCTGCAGGAATTGGGCAGCCCAGGGAGCTAGCTGGCCTAGGAGTCTTGAAGCCCTGGGCCTCCTGGTCCTAGACAGTCTGCATGATGTGGATGCCCAAAGACACAGACCCTTGAAAATCTTGTCACTTTCACCCATCACTGAAAAGCAGCTGTGAAAATGATAAGAATCCTTGTCAAGAATCATGACAATCTCAGTGAGCAGCTGCCAGGGTCCTGCAGGAAACAATTATTTTTGGAAATACCATGTGTTGACATTTCCAGAACAACGATTTTACAGAATTCCCCATTCCTTTGCTAAACGGAAATCCCAAATCTCCATCAACTCTATTTTGGAAACCTGGCTCAGAATCAGACTCATCAATCAGCACATGCAGAGATATGTTATTTTAGATAAATGGAACCCTTTGGCTTAGAAATGAATCAATATATTATACATTTAATGTGAGCTGCATACCCTATGTAGCTTTTCTCTTCTCTCCTCAGAGTCTGGTATGCCCCTGAGACTCGGAGGAATGTACCAGAAACATACATTTGTGTGTTCAGGCTGAAAAAAGAAAAAACAAACACATAAGTTAATAAACATAATAGGAATATATGGATCACCCACACCAATCTCCTGAAGGACAATAAATTGTTATTGAATATTTTATTATAGAAGTGGAGTCCATACATTTTATTAAGGCTGTTAGTTCTATATATTAAGAAACAATAAATTCTGTATAATATTGCTACTTCAGTCTACTTGCAGCTGCCATCTTGGATTCACTATGCATTGTCCCTTTTACAATATTCTAGAGTGCTGATGAAGTACAAACATTGTTCAACACTTATGCAATCTTAAGAGGATGTCCCTTCCAAGATTCCAGTGCCAGACAGCTCCCAGTAGTATTCAGTGACATCCTACACAGATAGGTCTGTCTTTTGGTAACTAATTTTCCTCCTCTTAGTAAGTGAAGAGACAAAGCGTGTATCAACCAAGACTTTATGCAGAGGCACCAGCAGCAGAGGAGGTAGCAGCTTTCAGAGAACCAGGAGTGACAACCTCTGGAATGTCAGCATGAATAGGCTTTATTAAGGCCATCTTCATACCCTAATCTGAGAAGCCAAACCAGTTCCTCTGCACTACATCCTTATGGGAATCTGGCTCTTTGTTGATAAATACCATCTGAAGTGTTCAGCTTGTGTCCCAATACAGTCCTTTAAGGTGAAAAGAAAAGAAAAGAAAAGAAAAGAAAAGAAAAGAAAAGAAAAGA